TGGTTTCTGTATGTTCACGCATCTTTTGTGTAGTGCATGTGTGTGTGTGTGTGTGTGTGTGTGTGTGTGTGTGTGTGTGTGTGTGTGTGTGTGTGCGTGTGCGCGTTTTTCGGAGCGCAGTCAGGATATGGCCTCAGGGCTGCTGGGGGTATTAGGGACTATTTTTTAGCAGGGAAGCGGATTAGGGGAGCGCGGGGAACGGCGTGGCCGTGGCTGATTTTCTGTCAACAGCCTCGGTTATCCCTCAATCCCTCCCTGTGAGGGAACTGGGACTCTGAGCTGCACCCCCGGGCTCGCAGAGAGAGAGAGCAAGGCGGGAGTCGGAGTGACCAATCAGAGAGAGCGAGGGAAAAGGTGGGGAGGAGAGAAAGAAAGCATCATTTATGATATCATCAGCTCATGAGAAGCTCAGACGTCGGCCGTGAGGAACAGAATCCCCATTGCTGGCACGTGAACGCTCGCAGAGACGCACTGTGGAGTCGCCGTGTTTACCGCATGATGGGTGTGGGCGCGAGTGCGTGAACGAGATGGATGCAGGAGCTTCTCGTGTGGTCTCCTCACGCACGATCGGTCCGAGCATTTGGCTCTCACACGCAGCGCTCTTACAAATACAGGCACAGAGCCCCTCTCTACAAAAAAACACCAAAAACACAGGGATGGGAGGGGCTAATGTAAGACGTTCACCAGTGATTGGTCCTCAGGTTTTGTCACCATGATGTCCTTCCCACTAAGGCGAGCTCAGTTACTGCTGGGAAGCTCTGCGCCACTCCTCTAAAGCCCGCCTGGCTCCCCGGTGCTGCTGGAAAACTTAGCTCATTTCAGACTGAAGGGGACCTCCTGCTGGTTCAAAGCCCAACATGGTGCCGAGGTCAGACTCAGGTGTGTGGGCGAGTGAAACCACACAGCTGTGAGAGATGATAATATAAGATAAGGAGGAGTCACTTCATCAGTGCGTCTCAGTTTATCGACTCTTTGGGCTTAAAGTCAAATAAATGCGTCAGATTACTTTAAGTGCTTTAGCAATAATACAGATATATTACAGAATATGGATCTATCATAGGCAGAGATGGGCATTAATCTGATTACTTTTTTCAGGTAACGAGTAAAGTAAGGGATTACTATTGCAAAAACGGTAATTAGATTACCGTTACTTTCCCGTAGGAACGCTGCGTTATTGCGTTACTAAAACCGTTATTTTATTGCGAGAGTGTCTCATGACAGTGACGTAAGCGAGTGCGCCGTTAGTGACAACAGCTGTGTGCAGATCAACAGTGGATCATATATCGAGTGGGGGAGAGAGTATGAGCGTGCAGCGTTTAAAGCGTGGAAGTACTGACCTTACTTTGAGTTGAAAAGTGACAAAAACATTAGCGTCCATCGTGCGTGGGAAGAAAACTTCTTTTTACAGCGAAAAAAACCCCTAAACTTCCAAGCAAGCACCGAGTGCGCAACCACGTAATGGGAAACTCACAGAGAAACTCGCGGATTCTTCCACTGACCGCGGCACACCTGCACCAGGGTAAACCTTTTGTATGATGGATTATGCAGAAAAAGTAGAATTGGGCTGAAAGATCTATCGCTTTATTACCTATTCAGGTTGTAAATCGTGTTTTTAAGAAGTAACTAAGTAACTAAGTAATTAATTACTTTTAAAAATAAGTAATCAGTAAAGTAACGGGATTACTTTTTTGGGGAAGTAATCGGTAATTAGTTACTGATTACTTTTTTCAAGTAACTTGACCAACACTGATCATAGGTATGTTACAGTGTACGCGGTATGAAGTTATGTTATGAATATACAATAACTGTAAGTGTTTACAGGCTGCAGCTGTAGTGAGTGCGACCGAAATACACTTCACACCAGACTCACTGGGAGCGGAGGCGGAGCCTCTGATGCCATGTTTTCATATTTGGTCTGCGGTGAGCTGTCTGAAAGATGGATGTGGGTCTGGGGGTGTGGCTTGTTAAAGCTCCATCATGAGCAAGTCGGCTGCAGGGCGTGTAGCTGTGAGCGATTATAACATGAGAGCAGCCTCCCTCAGAGCCTCGGTCACAGTGGAAACGTGCGTGCAGGCGGCTGTGACTGATCCAGGTGATCGCCTGGATCTTACCTGTGCTGTAGGGGAGGGACCTGCTGGCGGGTGGTTCTGGGAGACCCTGTTTGGAAGTGCAGCGAGGTCGTAAAAAGCACCACTCTTAATCTAACCAGCGCCTCGGTGTGTGTGTGTGTGTGTGTGGGTGTGGGTGTGGCCTCAGGGTTTGGAGCGTCCGCTACAACCACAGCCACGACCAGCTGGTGTTGACGGCCAGCAGAGACAGCCGCCTCATCCTCTCCAACATGGTGTCCATCTCCTCTGAGCCATTTGGACACCTGGTGGATGACGAGGAGCTCAGCGAGGGGGAGGAGCTTCACCAGGAGGACAAGTAAGAGAGAACACTGCCTTTGACTTCAGACAGGTCACATGACTTTGATGGAACACTGCAAAACCTTGGGTTAGGGGTCAGAGGTTAGCCGTCGTAGGCTTAAAGCTCGCCATCCCTGTCTGAGTGACTGTGACTAACCTAACGCAGCCGTCGGGGGCACGGCACGCTTCCCGCCGCCCTCAGGGTCCGTTTGGTTTTGGACGGCCTTCTTATTAACACGCTATTATTTCCTCACGTGACCTCTGTTGGTGTGAGAGGAGGGAGGGTGGACACCTGTGCAAACAGCCATCAGCTGCAGGTGATCTGTATGTGCGTGGGCGGGGTTTAAAGGTGTTTGATCGGCGCTGCTATCATGTTATTTCCTTCTCCACACCTCCTTTAAACATGATCAGGTGCAACTTTATTATTCTGGATTCACATCTTTGAGTTTTCCCCAGGCCCTCGTGACCTCTGACCTCTGTGCCGATGCTGCGATGTTATCCTTCACATCAGCTCTGTGTGAAGGCACGCTGTCAGGAGCCCATCAGGAGCCTGATGAGGCGAGCGCGACGTATTCTGAGCGCGTTATTTGATAATCATCCTCTCAGATGAAAGCTGACGGGCTGAACCTTCGCTCTCGGGCTCTGCGGCGCTCCCGGTGATAAAAGTGGAAACATTAAAAATGCGTTGCTGTCAAACACTTCAGGAGTTTTTCTCCGTGGCGTTTAGAGCTGATTCCCACACAGCAGGGAGATCGTCTGTAATGGTTCCAAACCTGCCGCCGTCCTCCATCCATTACGCTCCCAGTCCCCCTCTCAGCCTCGGCCGCCGCCTCTCATCGTCAATGACCGACTCTCATCCACAATTATCAGCTCTCCTTCCTAATCACCAGCACTCAGCTCCAGTTTGAACCCTCCCACTGCAGCCGCTGACCCTCTCGTCTGTGCGCTGCGTGTCCACTCCACAGTTCCTGGATGCCGGCATTCCTCCCGTGGGTTTGTGGGTATTTTTTTCAGACTGTACATTTTGTTTCTGGTGAAAAGGATCTGTTCAGTCTTACTGTCGAACCGTGAAGGCAAACCTGACGGCGTGTGCAGGAATTAGACTCGACCATAAAGATAATAATAATGACAGAGGCTTGATTGTGGGCGGGGCTTGGGGAGCTTCAGTCACACTAGACCAAAAAGAGGACGGCGACCTCCCTGCAACCGCAACGATCTGACAGACCGCTGTGACTGCTACGTTCATCACCGTGGCGCTCCGTCTGCTGCGCAGCGTTTAGCTCACAGCCTGACTGAAAACATGAACACAGGCCACAAAGACCCTGACGAGCGTGCACGTGCAGGCTGCAGAGGCGTGCCTGGTGACATCATCAGCGTACCTGCTGCTCCCCTGAAACAGTCAAATGTCACGGCGGTGTCCATCCAATGACACGAGACCTAAACCCTCCGGTCCGTTAGACTAACTGGCACCGGGCTGAGTATTTATCAGACGCGCTCGTCCCCGTTTCTCCTCCTGATGGATCCGCACGAGCGATGAGCTGAGGAGTGATTTTATTTCGGGGCACAGCCCGGAGGGAGCCGCTCGAGCCGGCGTGAAACGGTTAACGTGAAATATGATGTCAGGATTTCCCCTCAGGAGCGCTAACAGCGGCGGGCTTGGGAGGAAGTGGGGACGGCGCTAACGGTGAAGTCTGATTTAGTCTGTACGGCGGCAGAAAGAGAGCGCTGCTTTACAGCTCAGCCACCATCATCTCAGGTCGAGACAGGAAGTGACCTCACAGACACTCAGCAGCTCATCTTTTTTTAAGTCGGGAGAATCTCCAAACGTCTGCGCGCTCACGACCATAAAGTCGCGTTGTGTGTATTTTTCCTGCATTATTGATTTTATTGCTGTGTTATTATATTTAGGTACAAACAGGCGTTCGTACCATGAACACGAGTCGATAAAAGAATTAAACACACAGGCGATGGAGGGAGGAACGCTCACGTCACACGGCGACCTGAGTGAACGACGCCGGGATGCCGATTCCTCCAATTCTGAATAGGTTTAAGGTTCCCTGAAGGTTTGAGTCGATGAAACCGGGAACGCTGAGGTTCACATCAGAACGGTCGCGGGTTCGAACCTCGCAGGTCAAAGGTGCCTTGCTCTGACTGATGGCGACAGATTTGCTCCTCCAGCGTTCAGAGCAGCGTCTCTGTCGGCACTCGTGGTGCTGATGCTGCTGCTGACCTCATGATGCTTGTTTCTATGGATACTGCCCATCATTGTGTTGGAAACATTATCTAAGTCAACCTTTCAGTGAAAATAAGACAAATGAGGCTGCCTGGTATTTCACAGCTCACCTGTGTGTGTGTGTGTGTGTGTGTGTGTGTGTGTGTGTGTGTGTGCACCGCAGGGGTAAGGAGCCGCTGAAAGACAGCGTGGTGTCCACCTACGAGGAGCACGAGGACAGCGTGTACGCGGCGGAGTGGTCATCGGCCGACCCGTGGCTCTTTGCTTCGCTCAGTTATGACGGACGGCTCGTCATCAACAGAGTCCCGCGCGCCCTCAAATACCGCATCCTGCTCTGAGCGGGGCCGTGCTGCCTGTGTGTCTGTGTGTGACAGGCTGTGTTGATGCTGACCACTGTAAAAAATATCTGTGTTGCTTAGAAGTAAAAACTGGCCGTTGGATGAAGTTTGTGTTTGTGTGCTTCTTTAACGTTGGCTGTGACGTCAGTGGGCGGGGTCACAGGTACGCAGGGCTACAGATCCAAACACGGCTGAGACGGCGCCGTCTTTTCTTCGTGACAACAAATCTTTAACAAAAGTGTTGTTTAGTTCTTGTCATAATTTCAGCATGTAAGCTAGTTTTAGTCTAAACTCGACTCAGTTTAATTAAAGGTGTAAAAGTTACAAAACACACCACACGTCTTAACAATGCGATGTCATTAAGCAGTGATGTCACTGTGGCTACCTCCATCTTTTATATACAGTCTGTGGTTTTGGCCCATCAGCGCACCAGCATCAGAACAGGAAATATTTCCGCTTCCTCTAACTTCGGTCCTCGCTCCCCTGCCGCCCACGCCGTAGTCCTCCCCTCTCCGTGGATTCGTACAGTGCGTGCCGAGGCCGATCGATGGCGGCGACAGTTCAGACGGCTCTGACGGGCCTTTTAATTGCAGCTCGACTCCAACCATCACAGCTCCACACACACAATGAAGGAGGAGCCGTGCACTTCATTAGGTATGCCAGTCAGAGCCAGCAGAGCTGTGGCTGAATACTCAACGTATGCATCTGTCTAATCACAGAGGCTGCTCACACACACACTCGGAGGCCTCGTTGCCCCGCAGTCAATTATTAAGAAGAGGGATCAGGGTGGAGATGCAGAGGGACGGCGAGCGTCGCCTCCTTCCTGTCGCGTGCAGACGTGTGAGGGCGAGTGTGACACAGTATGAAATTATGAATGCAGCTTTCTAACCCATCAGTCAATCCGCCTGCTAATAACCGCTGAGTGTTTGCATGCCAATCGATGACAGCACCTTTTTAGTATGCCTGCGACAAATTACATTAGCTGTGATGCATCGATGGTCGATGTGGAGATCTGGATGCGTGCTGACAGCGTGAATAACCTGCATCATATTCGGCTGCTATTTACAGCCTGCGGCGTTTTACCGGCCAAGAACACGTGATGTCAGCTGGTGGGTGAAGCAGGGATCTGTCGTTACCCTCCAACATCAAACCCCTCACGTGCTTTCTCACACTTAGTCCTCTTCTTCAGAGCGGTTCTGTTTCCAGAATCAAACTCTGAGCCTCCTCCGAGTCAAACGCCACCCAGAGTCTGTGGCTGTTCTGCCAGCATCAAGATCCAGCTCCACCTGCTCCACCATCGTCCACACCAGTTTGGAGGGCATCAGCGAGGATCACCAAAGGTCTTCTGACTGAGGGGCCGTCAGATTCTCACGATGTGATCATAGTATGACATCACCAACAAAGAGACACCGAGCCATCATTCAAAAGGAAAACCACCGAATCCTGAGAATGACGTGACGTGGACACAGGTCGTCCCTGGATCCTTTGGTTCATATAAGAACAAAAAGGCACCGGGACAAAGCCGAGACCTCCACCAAAGACCAGAAACCACGCTTGTTACCCGAGAGTGAGAAGGTCTTTCAAACTGGAAGGGTGATGTCACGGTCAGCTCAGCCAATAGTTATAGAGCAGATGATGCAAAGACAGGACACAAGGAGAACATGGAAGCTCGTTCCAGGTCTGGGGACGAGTTCACTGAAGGAAAGGAGGCAGATCCTGGTGAGTCCACAGAGATTTCCAACGGAGAACGACGCTGATTCAGGGCGCTCAGAGGGCTTTTTTCCCAGAGGGGGAAGTTGATGGTGACATTTAGATATTTACTTTTACTTCCTGTGTCTCGTCCACCATGATTAGCGTCAGCTGTATTTGTTTCCTGTTACATCAGTGCGTCACAGCCTCAGCTCCTCGTCGTGCTCTTTGTTTCCTGCCTGTGAGCGTTTCTGCCACGTCGGCCTCCTGCAGCAGAGTGACGTCTTAGTTCTTGGTTATTTAACTGCGCTGTGTCCACATCCACACGCCTCACGACAAAGACGACCGAAGCTCAAACAGCCAAACTGCAACTCCACCGCCTCCCCGAGTGACCTCTGTGTGACCTCTGTGTGACCTCTGTGTATTAGTCTGTTCAGTCTGTCCATCTAAGCGCCTTTGGGCTGTGGATCCTAAGATTCTCATGATGGATGCGGCATGTGTGATGATGTCATGATGATGTCATGACATCATGGACCAGCGGCTTGTTGAATCTGAGCCAATGAGAATTAAGGCAGCTGTGTTCACTTATTGGTGTGAAGCTGATGTCTCCCATCCTGAAGCTGCTCCTCGACACGAATGGAGTGCTGCAGGTCACGTGACCGAGGCGCTGTACGCGGCGGCCACCCGGGCCTCCTCGGGTTGCGACCCTTTTGACCCTGATGCGACGTGACAGCATTGCTGTGGCTGCCGGGAGCCTCATGCGTGCTAGTGCAGTCGCTCAGGAGACGGGGATAACCGCTGAAATATTCACGACGCCGGGAAACGGGACGCCGTTTTCTCCGCACCTATGACAGAAGTATGTTTTTGAAGCTTCTGCAATCAAACCGAGGAGGAAACTGCCACAGAGACGTGAGATGCACGTCTTTGTTCCTCCTGCAAATACCACGCGTGCCGTCTGCTGCGTGTGTCATGTGTTACACAGGAAATGCTCCTGAAACACAAGCGTTTGCCTTGAATGGAGGTAATTGTACCTGAGGGTCACCCGGGCGTCGTCCTCCGAGGGTGGAGGCGGAATTAGATTGGGCTGCTGTGGAAATGAAATTTTAAAAAATGGGATTTCATTTAATTATTTATTCATGTCAGCAATGCGATATGGAGCCACCTGGGGTGTTTGTGTGTGTGTTATGAGCGTGAGCGCGAGCGCGAGCAGGGCTTTCAGGTGATTATTACCTCTGAGAGTTCGACTCATTTGCATGGAAGAGAATTTATGTGACCCCTCGAAATGAAAATTATGCACAAACACGGCGCTCTCTGCAGGAAGACAGAGCGACGGAGAGCGGGAGAGACTTCAGAGGTCTGAGGAAGGCGCCCGCGGGAGCAGACAAACGTACGTTCACCATTATTTATGTGCGCAGAAGAAGGAGAGGCCACGCGTGGTCCTCCGGGGCTTCACAGCGAGCTCACTGATACTCGTGCAGATCCCGCTTTTACGTTTGTGCTTTTAAAAGCGCTTCGCTGTGAATCCTGAGCCGCACGCTGCAAAGCAACGCGAAGGGGGATGATCATTTTTCAAGATGGTGCCCCCCGCCCCCGAAACCCAGAGATGAGCCTTTGGACGACTGAAAGTAAACAAAGGGTTTGAAATGTGCGGGGATTTTCTGTACAGGGGAAGAAATCTGTTAGACGCTAACCTCCTCGCACCCAGCTGCTGGGAGCTCTTTGTTGGGACTCTCAGGCTCTTAGTGCCACTGAAACGCGGTCCCATCACTTTTGATGTTAGCTCAGAGCGTGCGAGGATAGCTACTTAACACTGACAACCACCCTGTAGTCGGGGAAAAGCTCCTGTGTGTGCCGTAAGCTACTTATTTACCATCCTATCGCTTCCGGAGGAGATAAAGTGCTTTAGAACTGAGACTATTAAGCCATCAAAATTACAGGAGGAGTCTGTATTTAGGTTTAGAAGGAAGCCCTTACAGTCCACTGTGGCCCACTGTGGGTTTCCCAGCACTTTAAAACTGTATGGACCTTTTGTTGGGACACGTATTAGTGCCTGAAGCTGTTTCTCCCGTCTCTGTGACTCTTCTGTCCTCCAGCCTGCTGTCAGGAGCGCCCTCGGCCCGGCTCGTAGCCTCGGTGCTCGTCATTGTCCGGCTTTGTCTGGCTGACCGACCCTCCTTTCTTCCGAGGTGAAAGGGACCACAATGGATGATGAGCTATAGCGCTGCGGCGTGCGCCCACCTCCCTTCTCCCACCTTGCTGTTCTTCAATTATCGAACAAGCACACAGAGTAGATCCAGGGTTATTTATGGGCCTCGCTACCACGACGCACATGTAATTACCTCTCAAACGGCGTAATTGCGCTCATTTCTCATGTCCAGTGCCGACACTCGCCCCCCTGTGCCCTCGTGGTGTCTCCATGGAGATTGAGAGGCGGTTGCTGTTGAAGGACATCATGGGTCATAGGTTGAATGTTGGATTGGATTATTTGATGGTAGGTTGGAGCGGAGAAGCTGCTTGTTCATATGTTACAATAAAACGATTGTTTTTTCTCCTTCGACTTGTGCACGTGCATCTGTGCAGGCAGAGGTCTGTAAACTGTTGTAATCACCAAGTTTGGTTTGTTTCTTCTTTTTTCTGGTTTTAATCTTTAAAGTGATTTGTTTGTGATCTGCGGTCTGCCGATCGAAACACGTCCACGCCACGAGCCGTGCAGCTCTGCAGGTTTCTGCAGCTGTAGTTCACGTCCATACGCAGGTTCTCTGTTACTTCAAACACATTTAACACGACTTCACACACTCACACAAAAATCACTCATTAACAGATACCATTGTTAATGTCACTGAACATAAAGAAGGATTACTTTTTGTCAGATATCAAGTCAAACCAGCCATTAGACACCTTCTTACCTGTGGGGCATTATGAGTCCATTATATCTGCCGTGATTCGTCTCATCGTGCACAGGTCAGTTTTTCTAACCTTGCTTTAAACTTATTAATAATGTTGATTAAATAAATGAACCTACTGAGCCTAATGTTCAATAGTAAGGTTAAATATATTTTAATTCACATCCAGACATTTATCCTGGCTGGAGACAAAGAGGTACAATCATCATAATGATTGTAGCTGCTTTGGTTTGTAGCATCTGTCATTGATTCAATTATTTACTACAAATAAAAAGTGTGTTTCCTTACTGTGTTTGTAGAAACTGTGTGATCGAGGCTGCTAAATGAATGTACACTGTTTTGACACAAAATACATGAATACCATACAACCTTTACACGTTCATATGCTTTATAAAAGTATGTTTCAACTGTCACCGAAGGGTTTCACAAATATTTTAAGTACTGGCAAGTTTTATGACTTCTGGTGCAGCCGTACCATTCTGTACCATTAACTGAGACAGTCAGGGCAAATAGC